CTATAACAATAGTTATCAGGCAACCATCCAAATGGCTCCTTTTGAAGCACTTTATGGACGGAGGTGTCGAACTCCAATTTATTGGGAGGAGGTAGGTAGTAAACCGCTGTTAGGTCCAGATTTGCTACGAACGACCAATGAGGCGATTCAGAAGATAAGGAAGAGAATTTTGACCGCCCAAAGTCGTCAGAAGAGTTATGCGGATATTAGAAGCAAGGACCTAGAGTTTGAGATGGGGGATCGTGTGTTCCTGAAGATTGACCAGTTCGTGGTGTTTTGCGATTTGGTAAGAAGGGGAAGCTTAGCCCGCGTTTTATTGGACCTTTTGAGATCCTCGAAAGAGTTGGCCCAGTAGCCTATAGATTGGCATTACCACCCGCGTTGGATGCAGTACATAATGTTTTCCATGTTTCAATGCTGAGGAAGTATGTTGCAGATCCTATGCATATCCTTCATTATGAAGACTTGGAGTTAAAGGAGGACTTAAGCTATGAAGAACAACCCTTTAAAATTTTAGCGCGGGAAATGAGATCTTTGCGTAGCAGAGATATTCCCTTTGTTAAAGTTTTATGGAAGAATCAGCAAGCTAGTGAAGCTACTTGGGAAAGAGAAGAGGAGTTTAAACGAGAGTATCCATAATTGTTTAAGGAGTTGGAAACTTTCGGGGACGAAAGTTCTTAAAAAGAGGGTAGAATTGTAATAACCTAAAATAATGATAATATGTATTTGTATTTATTGTTGTTGTGTTTGTTAATAATAAAATAATAATAATAATAATAATAAATAAATAAATAATCGAAAAACGAAAACGAAGCAGCTGCTGTAAAGGGGGATGAGGGGCATTGGATGCGTAGGCTGGAGGCGTGGGTATGATGAAGGGATTGGTAGATGGTGTGGAAGCGAATTAGGGTCTTGATTAGGCTTTAAAAAGAAAGAAAAACGAAAACATTGGACAGAGGAAAACCCAGAAAATAGAGGAGGAAAAATCTCTGAGATTTCGAGTTTTGGTTGCTTAAGTTTGGTTGTCAATCGAGGGTAAGGGAAGAGAGGTTGTTGCTGAGGAATCCTTTGAGGAAGAGGAAGTCAGAACGAAATCTGAGCTATAGAGATGGAATATTGCTTCGGGACATAACGGGTATTAAAGGAAAAGTTTGGGAAACTTTGCAGGAAACAGAGGTTGAAGACGAGCGCGTGAGGGACACGCGAGGCGTGTGGGAGGCTGCGAGTGAAAATGCGACTGTGCGCGGATCAGGCGCGTGAGAAACGGTTGCCCGATCTTGTGTTGGCGCGTGAGGGCGCGTGAGAAGGTATTTTGGCTCCCGGTTTGTCCCGTTCGACTCCTTTTGACCAGTCCTATCAAAATTGGTCTATACTTATGTTGAAATTGATAAAATATAGGTCTAATAGGAAGGAATTGTGTTGGAATACCTATTAAATGTACATTCAAGGGGAAAAAGGAGTTCGAAACCAAGTAAGTAGCATATCGAACTTTGAACTAGTTCTTAACTTGCTTTACAACATGTGAGTATGTTGTTTACCTGATTAAGAGCTTAGTATGTTAAGATGAGCTTTGACGATATTGAATGTTATTGTATATTGTGATTACTTGCCTGTGATATAAGCATGATATAAATGATTGCCAGAATGTTCTATGTGTTGAACATGATACATGTATGAAAGCATGCAATAGATGTAAGTATGTTATGCATGTTAATGGAAAGATTATGACTCTAGGATATGCTTATTGGATGTTGAGCTATGGCTTATTTATATGAGTTGATAGTTTACTAATTCCCGCGGAGTTCCTGACCAACGCGCTGTGTGCTAAGTCAGGGAGCATGAGTACTCCTGACCGTTGGTATATGAGATAAACAGGCCGCTAGAGAAATTAGTAGATGGGCCGTATTTGACCGAGAGCGAATCTTACATACGAGTCCGAAAATTCTAGATAAGCATATCAAAAGAGAGTCAATAACCTAAGCTGGAGGTAGCTGAGATACATCATTAATAAACAGATGACCCTAGTAAAAGAAACTAAGAGTCAATGATAAATAAAACTTAAAAACACCTGGAAAGATTAGTTATGAACTCTCATGTACGATAAGCTAGCTACTTACTGGGTAATCTAATTACTCATCAAAATTATTATAACTTTCTTTCCAGATTTAGATGATGTAGGCCAACCGAGGACGAGATCAGCGAGCTAGAGACTACTAAGAATCCATGTCTGGGTCGTATATGTAATTATGCTTTCGTTGTCAAGAATTTACTTTGGTCGTTATAAGTTTTTAAAAGTATTGGTTTTAAATGTTTTACTGGAGATTTTTAGAAATATTTTGAGATTTATGATGGGATATCAGAGTTTGTTATCGTTGTCGATAGTAACTCCTGTTAATCGCATTATCGATGAGTGGGTGTTACATTGACAAATTCTACTGTACAACTGTGGACCTCTGTACTCATGATAGGTTCTCTAAATGATAGGTTCTCTAAGCATCATACAATTGAGTAAGTTACGAGCGTTCAAAGTTTTCGAGTTTTTCCAAAACTTACCCACTCGTTTTCTATTTCCTTATTTCTTCCACAGCTCATATTTCGTGTTCTATCTTGTAGATCTCTTCAAGTAGAATCTAGAGAAAAACTCGTAACTCTAACCTCAGCCTTCAACAAAACCTCCCTCGTGCGCGCGGTGTTGGTCACTGTGTTCTTCCTCCACAGGGCGAGCAATGGAAGTTGGATTTGATGTTTTGTGGCATTGAGATTAATGTTTTTATGAAAAAGTTGAGGCTGTAACGTGTTGTCCAAAGAAAGGGAAAATCGTGTGAAAGTTCACCAAGAACCTGAGTGCTTTCATCTGGAAATTGGACACCCATATACAAATTTGTCCCTTAAGGACCTTTCCTTTAGTTTTAAAGGAGGGAATGTAACAAATTTAATGAAGAAATCGTGGGCACGTTTGTGTCACGACCTAATTTTTGAGCAGTTCGAAGCATGGATTGCAATGTAGGCCGACTCTAGGAATATTTTTTTTTGTTCAAGTCCTGTGCTTTTGGCCTAACTCTTCTATTTTTACTTTACTTCTTAGTCATCTTAAGGTTTATGTTCAATTCCAAGCAATTTCTACAAATAAATTTTTAAAAAAGTCCAAAAAAGGTATTTACTTGGTCAATAGCCCACGTAATGTTTCAGCTTCGACCGCTACATCAAGCTCCACATGAAATGAAAATTGAAGTAGTAGAGTTGTGTGTTTCATGGGTTCTAGTGAAATGTAGATGGTTAGGCTTTCATAGATTGTAACGTGATGAAGAATACAGCATAAATGGTCCGACAATGAAACTATTTTTTTGTGTTTTTATCTATCATATGTTTCAAAATCAACAAATTTTAACTTTCGTCACTTTAAATTTTAAAAATGTGACTGGAACTCAGGTAGTTTCGGTGGTTTCGTCAATTTTTTCACATTGCTAGCTCATTAATTCAAAGGTACAAAGTTTTTTTTTTTCTTTCTTTATAATATAGGAGTCTAGCACAAAAAAAAATTCAAATTTAGCCGATAGTAACCTCACAAAAAACCACAAGAAAATAATTCGAATTTAGCTCATTAATTATTTTTATGTTTTTACTTTCATATGTTACAGAATCATCCAGCTATTTTTAGAAATGACGCAATTAGAGTATCCTGCTAGGATTAGCATTATAAAGTGGCTAACACAATTCTACTCCTTATCTATTTAGCAAGAGTGTCTTCATAACTATTTAGCCATCATTCTTAATAAAAATTTACTTAAAATAGCTAAAGGACTAAAAAGATAAAGCGAAAAACCTTAACCCTAGGGTTTTTTACGGGTCTCATTCATATCTCGAGGAGCACGTTAGTCTTGAAAAGCACAAAAAGAAAGACCAGGCATCTATCAATTTCTTTTCGCATTCTCTTTATTGATATTCGAGTAAAGAAAAGAGATTCATGATCCTGAACTTGTCGGTAAAGTTGCTTCGCATCTTTACAGCTTCCATTTGATATTGAGAAAGCGGCGGGCCTCAAGAAACTCCCCAATAAAGGAAAGAGAGAGACCGAACAGGAAGGAAAGACTCAACCTTAAACCTTTTCCTCAGCCTATTTATTTACCGAGAAAAAGATAAGAAAGAGTATCATAGAATATCATCCATGTTTCAAACATCCAATTGAATGTTATACCTATGGAATGAGTCATAAATCTAATAAAAGCTCAATACTCTTAACAATGACTTGTAGTTTTAAATGGAACCTCAGTTGTTGTAGCCCATTGTGCAAATGTAGTTTTAGGACGAGGTGATAAAGAAGCTGTCCTTTGGCATAATAGGTTAGCTCACGGGCTTGAAAAAGGACATGCATCAGCCTTTTGCACTAAGCTAAGGAAATTAAAATCTCGGCTTGGATTAAGGATGGACTCTTGGTCACGAAAGGGAATCCACTTTTTTTTACTTTTGAAACCTTGATTTTTTCGGTATGCTGCGGAACGAGCAAGGAGTGTCACGCACGAGTGGAGCAAAAACAAAGCTAAAGGAGAATTCTTCGTTAAGGAAAATCTAATATGGATGCATGTCTCTAGAACCGCCTAAATGAATTAGATAAGCTATGTTTGCTTAGAGCCCAAATTCGTCCAAACCAATTTTAGATTATGTCTATAATCTAAGGCTGAAACAAGCTAGAGCCATAAGTTAATAAAAAAAAATTTTAATTTTTTTATTAATTTGTTAAATGAGAATATTAATATTTAATTAGATGATCATGTTTGACTCAATTTTAATCTTGATTGAGTTATAAACGGTCTACAAAAACTTGCCGTTCGATTTGCAAATGTGAAAATAACTCTTATAGTTAATATATCTATAACTTTCGTGACTAAAGTGTAGACTTAAAAGTAGAGTAATCTATAGGTAAGTAAATATTAAATAATATATTTAAGATATAACTGAAAAATATATTTAATTTTGACCATCAGATCAATGTAACGGTGAAATTGCAAAATGAAAAATTCCATTCCATTCAATTCAATTCAATTCAGTGTTCAGGATTCTTTGGTGAGAGCTACCATCTTTTGGTAGCAACAGCATCACATTTTTAACAATAATTTACCTCTACAACCTTTTTCCTTTTCTATCTCTTTCCTTTCCCTTTCTTTGAATACTTATTTTTTACATTTAAAAAAAATATATACAATACAGCCCCAACTCAAGAGAAACCAAAAACAGTTTCCTTATTCACACTTGACAAAAAAAATGAGGCATTCCAATCAAGGTGTAGAATTTACAGATATCTCTTGCAGCACCGATGAACTCGGCTGGTCCGAATGCAGCGGCATGACGAGCCGCTGCAGTGGCTTCAAAATATTGGCTAATTGTGCAAATGAGGGGCGCAAGTTTGGATCGCTGGGGCAGGGAGAAGCATAAACAAAAGGAACATGAATATTAACTTGATATGTAGAAGAAAAGAGTGCTAAAAAACACACACTAATGACTTACGTTTGCCAGCATTCCCAGATAATCCTTGCAACCGTGGTATCCACTTCCTTGGGTATTTCGAGTCGTCGATTCTGGAAACCGACTGCACCAACAACTTGCATAGGATTCATCCCACTCCAAGGCAGTCTCAATGTAGCAAGTTCCCATAGAATGATTCCAAAGCTATAAACGTCACACCTATGCATTTCGAGAACATCTCAGCCACATTTGACATACAGAAAATACCTCCCATTTTACAACCAACCATCAACCTAGTATGTGATCTGATGCTATAATGAGAGATCCGATATATAGATTTGTTGAGGATTGTTGGGAGAGAGTCCCACATTGGTTAATTTAGAGAATGTATCATGGGTTTATAAGTAAGAATACATCTCCATTGGTACGAGGCCTTTTGGAGAAGCCCAAAACAAAGCCACGAGAGCTTATGCTCAAAATGGACAATATCATACCATTGTGGAGAGTCGTGATTCGTAACATAGATAACATAGATCTCATGCTCAAACGTGAACTAAAAATGGAGAAATAACATTTAACTCCAACTTACTTCTCATTTGAAGGCTCATTCCGGAGAACTTCTGGTGCCATCCACTCAGGCTAACACATGGAAACAAAATGAGAGACCAATTTATTACAGAAAAATCTGAAGGAAATGTTTTAAAGTAAAAATCAACATTCTCAGCTTCTCACCGTTCCTCCAGTTGACTTGGATGACAAAAATGTACTGTGCTTCAAGCGTGACAACCCAAAATCTGATACCTACACCAATTAAGAAAGAAAGAAAAAGGAAGAAAACCAATAAAATTAAACACCGATTAAAACGCCTGCTGATATATCAGTAAATTGGAGGATTCCACATCGATTTCTTTTCTATTTGTTATAATACCCATAAAACATAAAAATAATATTAAAAAATAAAAAATTATATAAATCTCAGTATGAAGATACACTAATAACAATGATTGTAGGCGATGGGAGGAAGTTTACATTCCAGTTCTTATCAACCAAAAGATTGTAGATATAACTCAAACAAAATGCAAACTTAGTTGAATAAGATACTCAATTAATAGACCATAGCCGTAAAACATCAGCAGTAGGAGAGTTGTTATACCTTTACATTCCAGTTCTTATCAACCAAAAGATTCGGTGACTTCAGATCTCGGTGAACAATTGTTGGATTACTTGTATGCAAGCAATTCATGCCCCTTGCCTGCCATTGTAATAACGAATTCAGACGACGATATTTTACTCAAACATTAGTCGAATAAGATACTCAAAGTTAGTCATACCACATCAAGGGCCATTTTTATTCTGCGGCTTTCATCAATTTGACAATTTGGTCGGTGAATGATCCGGTACAAGCTTCCTCTGGAGTTTAATGGCATCAGGAAAATTTCAGTCCAGAAAACAGGCGAGCACGTCTAGATGATCTAAACATTTTTCTTCCTCTTACTTTTAGGGGCGAGGGAGGGATGGGGATTTATTTAAAGCAAAATTTAAGTTATACCTTGGAAGAAACTCAGTAACAATGGAAAGGTTAGGAGGACGAGTGACAGCACCCATAAAAAGAACAATATTTGGATGACGTAGCTGCCGCATTATCAGTACCTTACAGCAGAAGAGATTTTGAGTTCATTGTCAAAGATGGCTGATTGTAGATATAACTCAAACAAAATGCAAGTACAATGATCATTCCCTGTAACTATTGTTAATTAAGTTGCATTTCTCTAGTTCCAAGAAAACAAATTAACCATCATATGGAGCAACATGCTTCATGAAAACTTCATATTTTGCCCCATTAGCCATATAGAACTAGAATCTTAGTTCTCTAAATGGTGGGGGCATTGGATTCATTGGAGAAGAGTGATAGTCTTATTGAAGAGAATTAAGGGTGGATTGAGGAGTGAAGAAATGAGTCATGAGGGCAAGATATCATCCATTCCTAGTTTTGCTATTTGTAGTCATGAGGGCACATACCCAGGTATACTATCCCCTTCTCTAGTTTATCCTTGATAAAATGTCAGTCGATTTCAATACGAGGATTATGAACAATCGTGACGGCTGAATTCGTTGTCATAGTACAATTTTATCCGGCTCTCTCTTATTCTGCAAGTAACCAAGGATTATCTCTGACCGTAGGAGCTCACATAGCCCTCATGCAATAGTTTGAAATTCTTATTTGGCAGATGAATTAACCACCACATTTTGTTTTGTTTTGTTTTTTTAACTGTACATCTTCATGTTACCAAATCACCTCACATAAAATCCCACCGTAGTATTAAAATATCATCACTAGCCCAATAAGGTCGAGACCAATAATTGTAGTACGAGTCTACTGTATATTTTTACTTTAAGAAAATGATTTAGGTATTTTAGGAATAAAAATACCTAGATATTTTAGAAATAAAGATATCTAAATATTTTAGGAAAATGATTTAAATATTTTAGGAAAACGATTGAGAAATTTTAGGAATAGGTTACCTAGCCTCTAGTATAAATACCCCTCCACCCTACCTAGGTTTTAATCCCAAGAAATACAAAGCAATAGTATTCTACAACAAAGCAATAGTATTCTACAACAAAGCAATAGTATTCTACAAAGTGTTTCTCACCTAGTTGTGTTCAACAATCTGGTATCAGAGCAAGGTTGGTGTAGGTTGTCTAATCTCTTAGAATTCTTAGTATGCTCTGTGGTTGCAGCGCTCTCTGATCTTCCACATCAAAGACGATTTCTTGAGATTATTAGTGAGTGAGTTTCTGTGTGTCGTGAGTAGTCTGTGACTCTGTAAGTTTTGTGTCGAAAGAGCTTGTTTGGTATTACTGAGGTATTACCAACACGATGGGCGATTCCCACGGGGGTAACTGCAATGAGCATGTTGCCCACATTTTTCATTTTTTAGACGATGTTCTATTTTCAAGGACATGATCTTTGGGAGATCTTGGGCAAGAGTGAAACTACGCCACCAGAGGAGGATCCTAACGGTGCCTTGCGCAAATGGAGAATCAAAGTAGGCAAAGTAATGTTTGCCTTGAAGATCACAATCGAAGAAGAGATTTAGAGCATATGTGGGATGATAAGATAGCGAAAGAAGCATGGGACACGTTTGTGATGTTGTTCTCAAAGAAGAACGATACAAGGCTACAACTTCTGAAGAATGAGTTGTTATCAATTTCACAACGTGATATGACGATTGCTCCGTACTTCCACAATGTCAAGACGATCTGCTGAGAGATTACTGAACTAGACCTGAAGTCTGCAATTGGAGAGGATTGAATGAGGAAGATCATTATCCACGAATTGCGACCAGAATATAGAAGCTTCATTGTCATTGTACAAGGATGACCCACTCAACCATCACTTGTAGAGTTCGAAAATTTGTTAGCCAATCAAGAAGTCATGGCTAAACAAATGGGAGACATCACATTAAAGGGTGAAGAAGAAGCACTATACACAAGTGAAATTCGGAGCAACAAGACGTCGTCTACAAAACATGGATACAAAAATGGTAACAAAGGAAGAAGTCACTAGGGAACTGCACAACCTAAGAGAGCTAAGAAGAACGACAACAAGAGTCCTCAAGGGAACAGATTTGATGGTATTTGCTACAATTGCGGGAAGAAGGGTCACATGTCCAGGGATGGTTGGTCCAAGAAAAAATTTGTCGAAAGCAATGGGCATCCTCCAACATAGAGATTGAGGAGGAATGGGATGCAGAGACAATATGTGTCATAGAAGAAGACGAGCTAGGACTCATTGATTCAGGATGCTCAAACCACATAATTGACGATCTAAGTGGTGCAAGGGTGGCCCTTAAATAAGGAAGTAGTACCAGGCCTGGACAACACTGAAGAAATTCTTCCACATAAGACGGGGAGCAAACTGTACACATTAGCTTAAATGTTGACATGCCTGGAGATTTGAGTGACACCAATGTTGATGAGCAACAAGTGACTCAACAAAGCAAACCTGGTGAAAAGAAAATGGCACCTCAACAACTTAGAGAGTCAGAAATAATTCAAAAGTCAAATCCAGAGTAGAAAATAGAGTTAATGAGTCAGAGACGTGAAGAAGCATCAGAAAACTTGGCTTGGCAGAAAGCGAGGGAGGAAGAAATTATAGCCCTGGAGCATAATCAAACTTGGGAACTAGTACCAAGACAAGAAGATATCAAATTCATCTCTTGCAAGTGGGCTTTCGAAATAATGTGTCTCTCGAATGGATCAATCGAAAGATACAAGACTCAATATGTAGCTCGAGGGTTCTCTCAAGAATATGGACTAGACTAAGATGAAACGTTTAGTTTAGTGACGAATATCACTATCATACAAGTTCCTCCAGTACTTGCGATAAAAAGAGATTGGAAGTTATGGCAGAAGGATATGTAGAATGCTTATTGCACAGAGAGTTAAACAAAGAGTTCTACATGGACCAACCGAAGAAATTTGAGAATGGAGTTGGAGTCATTAGTCAGTACACGCAAAGTGCAAAGAAGCCTCATTTGGATGCAGCTCGACAAACCTTGAGATATGTCAAAGGCACAATCAATTATGATCATTTGTAGAAAAGAAGCGAAGACTACAAGCTAGCTAGATACCGTGATGCTGACTATGCAGGATATCACGATACCCGAAAATCAAGCACCAGGTATGTGGTCAAGCTCGATTCGAGAGCAACTTCTTGGTGTAGCAAAAGACAATCAACAATATTATTGTCAACTAGAGAAGCAGAGTACAGAGCAGCGATTGGAGCAGTTCAGGAAAGTACATGGCTGAAACTCTTGATGAAAGATTGGCACCAGAAAATTGACTATTCAATACTATTTCATTGTAACAACCAATCTGCGATTCGCCTAGCACAAAATCTGGTGTTTCATGCTAGAATAAAGCATGTGGAGGTGCACAACCATTCCATTAGAGAGAAAGTCTTGATGGAAGAAATTGAAATGCAACAAATCAAAACAGAAGACCAAGTGGAAGACTTGTTTACAAAAGGGATAACATTAGAGTTTACATTGTCAGTGCAATGAATAACTAGTGTTGAGGAGGAGTGTTATCGCCCTAGCCCAATAGGGTCGAGCCCAATAATTATATGAGTTCATTGTATATTTACTTTAGAAAAATGATTTAGGTATTTTAGGAATAACGATACCTAGATATTTTAGGAAAGTGATTTAGGTATTTTAGGAATAAAGATATCTAAATATTTTAGGAAAAAGATGGAGAAATTTTAGGAATAGATTGTCTAGCCTATTAGTATAAATACCCCTCTACCCTACCTAGGTTTTCATCTCAAGAAATACAAAGCAAAGCAATAGTATTCTATAAAGTGTCTTGTAATCTCTTCTTGATTGGTCTTAATAAATAGTGCGAGTGTTTCCCACAGAGAATTGTGCTCAACGAGAATTGTTCTATTTGAACAAAATTCCTTTTCCTCAAGTTTCTTTCAGGTAAATAACACTCTATACAATGTTTGAAGGTGAGGCTCATGTTGATCATGCATAAATTGGCTAAACACTTGCTGAATACGTTATGTTTGGTTGAGTGTGAGTTAGATATATAAACCTCTTCATTGGCCTCTAGTACATCTCGTTGTTCACCACAATTTCTTCCTTGACTTTCCTAATTTTTTATGTGGGTCCATGGCGTCGGTGCAAGTTTACAACCACTTCTTCCTTTTTTCATCAATAAATCAATCGATCACATATTTCTGTGTGATATGAAGATGCCTTGAGCTTGAGCTAAGTTTGCTCTCTTGTTTCTTAATCCTAATGTCTCCAAAAGCGTTTCGATTCAAAGTTTAAGTGATCCTTTTCAAAGAACTCAATTTCCTCACAGAACGATACCCCTCCCATGTACCTGGAATCATAGCATTCCATCATGTAGGTGGGTAGGGATTTAAAGGAAGGATGCTCTAGCCACATGTTCTCAAACCAAAAGGGGCTCGGACACCAATTTTAGGACTCAAATAATAGGCCAATGATCCAAAGTCACTCTCAGGCTCATCAACTGTCTACCTCCCCAAGACTTCCAATCCAATCCTTAGAGAGCAGAAGTCTACCAAAGCTTTCTTCCTCCCATAATTAATCAACATTCTATCACATACGGTACATTATTTTAGTAGATTCGATCACATAAGACAAACTATTAAACATGTAAATTTCTTCCATTAAGTTATGCATTGAGAAGTCTATTTTTCTAGAAGTAACTGCTCCACTTACTTCTCTTTTGAACTCAGCTAAAGCAGCGCCAGAAAAATCCTGGTCTAAGAATTTCTTCACAGCAACCTCCTGCAAATCCATCAATTAACATCAAGATGTTAGGATTGGAAAAGACATTCGGTTTGATATTACTTGCAGACACAACTGTATAAATTTAAGAGGACCATAAGAGCAAGGAAGGAATATTTCAACCTAACTAATTAGCAAGTGGGGTGTTAAGACAACCAAACTAATTGGTTCAAACTTCCAGGTTTAATGGTTAAACAATTGGAAAACAATCAGGGTTTACTGATAGTTTAACAATTTCAACATAATATTTCAAGCATTTTATCATAAGGAGAGAGTTAATAGTAGTAATTTGGATCAGACAAGTTATTGCAGCTAAAAACAAAATGCAAAAATGAATGTACCAAGCTTAATATTGGTAGACTGGCTACAGAACACAAAAACATAGAAATATAGTTAATATAACTCACTGTGCCATTCCAATCAGCATGGTAGACTTCTCCATATGAACCTATATATAGAAAACATGGAATTAAAAGAGGGAAAAATGAAGATTTCCAAGGTGTTAAAGGTAAACTATTTCATAGGTTTAAACAATTGAAAGAGAGAGCAATTTATAAATAAGTTTCACCATGGAATGAAGCAATTATATTTTATTTCCAACCTCAGCCCTATAATGTTTGTGAAATATAAAATTCTGATCAGCCATAGCTTACCTAGTCCAATCCTTTCCCCAATAACGAGGTCCTCCCATTGGATTTCACATTGGCCTACATCCACGTCATCATAAACTTGCTCAAACCTACTCCTCGAACTTGGATCAATCAATATGCTGGGACTTCCCGGATCCTTCAATATCAAATTGGTCCCAACAGATCTATCATATGTGAACTTTCTACGGTTATCAAATCTGCTTAAATTATCACGTCCAACAACGGCATCTACCTTTTCATCCTGCATGTCTATATTTCCAGAATATGCTCCATTGAGTTTTCTGTTCTGCTCGTCAATCAAAGGCAAAATATTAGACTCTATCATTGTGGATGTCGACCATGAGTTCATATTAGATGAAGAACTTCCAACTTCAGCACTTCTATTCGATACCCTCGAGTCAATGGATATTCCTGAACCACTAGGATTAACATTTTCAGAGACAGAAGAGCTTGCAGAAAAAGACGATGCTGTATTATGATCATTAGGTCTACAATTAGTTCTTGGAAAACGGCCCTCCATGTAATCATACTCTTTATTCTTGGGAACTGCATTGAAAACAACCCGGTTTTTCCATAACGGCACAGGAGCATGTCCAATAGCGGGTTTCCGAAGCTCCTCAATTTTATTGTCAGAGGATTTGTTAAGAATGAAACTTTTTCCAGTTCCTTTTATTTGGAAAGGATTAAGATCTTCAAAAAGATTTTTGGAATCCTCGGAGCTTTGACCAAGTGAAACTACATTGACATTCAGTCTAACATTACTATCACCAAAATGGGCCCCTTTGTATCGAGAAGTCTCAGTACCTAACAAGGAAAAATCTCCGATTAATATGGAGTTATTCTAGCAGGTACTGGAGAAATAACGTAAATGTCATACTACGCACCTGAGCTTGACGGCACAGACTCTGTCCTTCCATAGCTCAGTTTCTCATCCACCAGTGAGCTGGCCTCTGCTTCAAAGTTTTGACTGCTGCCTTCCTCAAGTAATGATGTTGGCTTCGTAGAAGAAATTCCAGCATCATTATAGTGGTGAAGAGAAGGAATTTTGCTTACTTTAGGGTTGTAAGGCTTAATGGAAGTAGTATCCTTTGCACTTAATATGTCTGCTGGTATAAGTGTTCCAGGAGCTGCCATTAGATCAACCAAAAACTCCCTGAAAGCAGAAATTAAATACTCATATCAATTGGTTTTGATAGAAGTGTGCGCAACACTAAATGAGTGCCCTTTAGGACTAATTTTACTTAACAGTCGCATTTTATTTTTCTTTTAAGGAGAAAAAAATTGTCATTTTATTGAACAACTGAAATCCCAAATGGAAGAAACCCCAACAACTGCCACGGAGGTATAAGAGCTTCCCAATTGATAATAATACAATTTCTCAACAAAGTTCTGTTACTTGTTCAAAATAGAATTTCTTGACAATGATCCAACTTTAAGCAAGGCAAATGGAATGAATGTGTAAAACAGGGAAAGACCAACTATTAAGCAACGAAACCAACAATAATGGTAACGTAATTATTACAGCTTTTTTTTAGATGAATAACATAATTATTACAGCTAATGGACACCATAAGAATTAAAGACTAACATTTACTGGAATATATCCACAAACATAATAACCCATCCAACAAAGGAAGCAATAAAAATTACAAGGAATCCGACTTGGAGACAAAACATCAGAGGGGCTAAAATAGAGGCATTAAGATGACCAAAATATTGTTTAAAGCTCAAGATGCAATTGTATGATATCCTAATGGAGATTCACGCATACAGAAAGAAAAGAAAACAAAAAAAAAGTATTTTTGGAGGATGATGCAGTATACATGCATAATACTGGATGAAGAAATTTCACATTAGCTTAACGAGTCAACTGACATTATTCAATCAAATTAGCCTAACTAAACCCCAAGATTCGACGTAGTGAAAACTATATCTTTGATATCCATCAATCTTATCAATGGCGGATCTAAGACTTTATGTTGGGAAGCTTAATATATTTTGATATTAGATTGACCAATAAAAAGCATGAGTGATTTTCTTATAGGTTAAAAATAATTTAGGTTCTCACGACTTTCATAGAAGTCACAATTTAGTCCTTGATCTATGGATGGTAATAATTGAGTCTTTGGTACTTCCAAATTTTTTACCGTTTAGCCTTTTTCTTTCTCTGTTGGACAATCTCAAGTTCATTTAGACAAACCCAATAATGTCGGCTTTAAAATAGTTTAGTAGATAACGGAATAGGAAGATCTTTTATGAAATATGGATGATACTTCAAGGTTTGTATACTTGTGACACTTGAAGAAAACTATAAACCAAGATAAAACTTAAAATCAAAACTGTGAAAGTGCCGGGTGGAACGAACTATCTCAGAAAGCTTCAATAACTATGAACATCTTAACCCAAACAAAATATTATCGATTACATGACTTTTTGCCCAGTTATTATAAATTCAAAAATACCTTTAACAAGCCTAAATTAATGATGAATGGAACAGAAGAGGCACCTTTCATCCTCCAACTTTATAATGTTCACAGCATCTTCTTCGACACCTGTATAGTGACTACCTTTAACAAGCCTACAAGGCATCTTGATACTGTCAGCTAACACCTATAGCCAAGGAAGAAACGGATATGCTCATATAATGTCAGTAAATCTTTTGTTTAATAATAATAATAAAACTTTAAATAATTTATAAAACAAAATATCACCAAAAACAGTATACTCAGAACTTGAAACACTCAGACCATTTTATTTTCCTGACACCTTGTTAGGGCTCTAGGGCCTTTTACTTTGACGCTATAATATAATTAAGAAAGAAAATCGACCTTTTTCAAGTTCTTCATATTGACAGTAAAACCACATCCTTTATCACATTTAACAAGCGATCTCATAGAGGAAATCTCTAACATAAACCACTATGACAGCTCATGGTCTTATAAGGTACTACTCAGTAAAGGCCGGTTGCATGATATTACAGATATCTAAGAGTCATTTGAGTCAACCAACCTTGAAAAGCAATGCACGATGTCTTGAGAGGCCAATATTGATGGAACCAATAGGCAATACACTGGTGTGAAGAGAAGTCCTTAACTCTGTGCTTCTTTCCATCCACCTTGCTAGCATAAAATGGGCGTCCTTTACAGGTCCGCCCATATGTCCCATAACAAGCTCAGCAAGCCTTTGAACCAAAACCCTCACCTCAGTACCAGGGCAATCTGCAATACATTGAGCAATTTGCACTAGCTCTTCTAATGCATGATCAACAGTCATATTGACCATCACGACTTCAAAGCCAGAACTACCGAAGCTTGCTTCAATATCAGATAGAGATGGAATTTTTCCTTGGACTGCTGCATCCGTGGAGAGGACATCATAAAACCCATTGACCACTTTATCTTCATAGCCAAGCAGATTGTATTCCTTAAAATGCAATAAAAAAAAAATAGTATTACTAAAAGACTGAATGACCCTACAGTGCAGAGTAGCAAGAAAAAGAATATCAGAGCAACGTGACAAGGTTGTGGCAAGTCCAGCTCCACCAGTGTAGAATTTACAACATATTGATGCAGCAGTTACCTCCCGGATTGACTAGGGAAGAGTCGCAAACATACGACCCAACTAGTTTTCTTAAATATAGGTAGCTTAAAACAATTAATTTCTCACTTTCTGTTTCAAATATGCTTCGTTTAAACTTCTCTAAGATACTTATTTCCAAAGGGTGTCTTGATTTTTCCCATGAGCCAAACAACTCTCCGATTGTGCAGGTGCTTAGTGGTTTTATGTTCAGGGTAATTTTTTTTAATTTCGGTCCTTGACGTAGTTAGTCTAAATGAACAATCCTAGACACGATAAAACTGTTTGGGGAAAAAAGATATACTAAATCCTCGTCTACAAGAATGATGCATTAGATTATGATAATTCGAAATCCATCTCAGTCATCTCAATATGTTTATAATGTCAAATTAATAATTAATGCAGTGACCACGTACGATCAGAGATGTAACTGTTGTCGATTAGCAGCATAAACCTTGAATCTTGATCTAATTAATTCTGTTTACTATGCCAATACTGAAAACATGGTCGAATGAACTCCCCAGAAAACAAGAATCTCACCCAATATTGTCTGGAGAGCACCTCGGCAGCATCTCCCTGGTCTCTGGCAGTGGAATCAATTCGATGATTACCGAAGCTCAAAAGCGACGCAGCACGAATTTGATCCTTCTCCGGATCATCCCGAAAGTCCGAATTGGAGGCGCTAATAGCTAGGGCAAGCTGAACCTGAAACTCCTCCTCTGAAGAAAAGTAATCAGACCGATTGGGAGCAACCGAAACCGGAGTCACACTTCCGCCGCCTGGAGGAGTTGTTGCCAGCGACGGCGAAGACGAAGGACTCAATGGAGAGTTGCCAGAAGTGAGGCCGGGAGCAGTTGCAGGACGATTATCAGAAACACATGGAGACGACGACGACGACGACGACGACGCTGCTACGGGCAACGGATTCTCGTTGGATCGACTCGGATCGTGATTGCTTCCGATATGAAACTTCTTGAAAATGTGTTTCATCCCTCTTCTCCAATCTCTCCTTCCCACACTTCTCTCACTTTCTCGGCCACTTTGAATCACTCACCAGCTCTTCCAACTTCAAATTCCTCTCTCTAAGAACACCGATTCACCTTCTCTGCTCCTCAAAATCCGATTCAGAATTCTCTGTTCATCGCTCTCTGTGTCTCTGCGTGCTGTTGCTTTTCTTGGCTACGACGGTCAATAGGAAATGGTTGGGACTTGGGAAGGAAAACGAATGAACGCGTGAAGAAAAAAATGTCTCTCTACACACGCGCCCCCATATCCGACAATGTGGGTGTACTCAGATACTTCACACGTGGAAGCGTGTGGATAAAGGAAGTGGCCGAAATTCATTTTTATAATAACAAAATTGACTTTCTTCAAATCAACGGACCCGCGCTGACTGTTACCGCACTGACGGTTACGGCCCAATCATAAGCTGCCAACGTAGCAGCAATTTCAATCTGCCAATGTGGCATAAGGTTTTGCTTGAATTAAAATATTGTCAAAAATAAAATTTATATACATATAAATTATTATCTATTTATTATAATTAAATAATTGATTATAATTATTTTGTAAGCTAATATCAATTAATTAATTGAGTTTATTCAAATAAAATAAATTAGGAGATGGAAGATTATTAAAATTTTATATAAATAATAATATTTTTTAAGTCGTAGACTATCAGCTAATTTATTTTTATTAAGTCAAATTATTAAAATATTTTTATCAATTAAATTTTAATTTAATATATTTAATAAGTGCATTATAAATAATATAGGTTAAATGGTAGGTTTTTAAATTTAACTGTCAATATTAATAATTCTTCTCAAACAATAAATTTATAAAAAAACATATTTAAGAAACAAAAAAAACAAAATAAAATAATTATAAAAGAAAAGAAAATCGAGATAAATAAATAATTGTTCCTAAACTTTATTCCCTATTTCCTTTTCTATTTTTTATTTTCTTTTTTATTTTTATTTTACATTTATTCATCTTTTCTTTCTTACTATTTTAAAATTTATAATTATTTTTATCGTACCATAATTTACTTCATTATATATGATATTTGATTTTTAAACTATAATATATATAATAATTATTTAATTTGATCACCATACTAATAGTTTATAATTAAATTTGTGTATAATTTTATTTAAATTATTTATTAATAATTATTATTATTCATTGATAAATAAACCCAAAAACCTAAAGTATATTATTTGTAATAGTTATAGTAACAATTAATTACAAATTTATTATATTGAAATTAAATTTGTTGTTAATTAATGAATTTTGAGTTTTGGAATGATGTTGTTTTTCTATGTTTGTTTAATATGTTTTAATAATATTTCGAGTTTTGGAATGGAAAGTGCTCCAATAACTAAAAATAAAAAGGGAAGTGGGAGAACATATTTGGTATAGAGTATGTTCGAAGATACATGTCACTTCGACTATGATGCAAGTGAGTGATTATTGGGATTTATGTTCTAAGACCTCGTAATTAATGATTTAATTTTAATAATAATTTTGATTGTTTTATTTACAATTCAACTATATCTATTGTCCGAAAAAGTTCGATAGTATTAGGATAATCTTGAACATTATATCATTGATATATGAATTATGTATAACTAACAATCGAAAGAGTCAATAGTATATAAATAAAATTGGATATCTTATCCTAATAACACTCTTCATATGACCCACTTTGTAATTGTTACAAATGATTTGATGAATAAAATATAAGGTATATAAATTATACGATAGATATACCATCAAAATTAGATGATTTTTTTAAAATTAAGAATATAAATTAATCCTCAACTACTTAATAGAGATCTATATTAATCTTGGGGTGTTGGGTTTTATGTCCTAAAACTCATAGTTTGTAAACAAAAATATATTCTATTTTCAATAAAGTTATTATTGTTGTTTATTCAGTAAAGATTGTAGTTGAATAAAGTGAACTTTATGATTATTAATCTAAATCCAATAAACTAAGAACACTCTGACTATAGTATGATTACTTGAACTATATGTAGAGACATAAGAGTCGATCAAGTTCAAGTATATAGTCAAAAGGATCTATAGTATGGGGATAAGGTTACGTACCTTATCTTGGGAACACTATGAATGCGGTCCACTTTTGTATATGACATAAACAATGTGATCACTAAATTGTACATGTGGAGACGTGTGAGTGGGGGTGTCCTATGCAATGAGTATTGCATAAGATCGGACCATGAAGAAAATCACTCTCACTTTATAATGTCGTTTACTATTGAGACTGATTTTCTTTTCATTCGATGACCTAGGTAACTCGATTTTAATCCTAAACTAACCATGAACTCTTGTTTATTCGGAATTATCCTTAGATTTGCATGAGTGAGAGTGGCTCGAGTTCGTCGACTCAATAGGCCTCCCATTTCAGGGGTAAGACTGGGTGAATGGCTGGGGACGTGGTGTGCAAGATGGAATTCACTCCTACCCACTTTTAGGGATAGAAGAGAGGTTAGTTCCCTTAAGAATTGACTCCATGTCTTGAACAAGGGGCCCCACCCTCTCATTGCCCTGAGAGGGATTCGGTTTACTTGTTGGACTACAAACCAATTGTTCATTAGAGGATCAGTGAGACATGAGGAACAAGAAGTAACTTCAAGGGTAAAACGGTAAATTGACCTAGCTCTAGTTACGAACGACCTATGAAGGATCGACTTACTAATCATGGTTATATCAAATGGACATAAATATATCTATAGTGAGGGGAGTGCAACTACTAGGCTATAGTGGAGTGTCCTAGTAGTTAACAAATGTTGGTTAACAAGGTTAATGAGTTTAACCGGTTAATCTTGGATCGTTGGAGCCCATGATCTATAGGTCCATTAGGTCCCTCTACTAGCTCATATCGGACTAAACTATAGAATAGTGTGACGAGTGAGATCAAAGTGTTTGAATTCAAATTAGGGAATATGCGCTACATATATACCATATATTTAACCGCATTTTTGTTTTATTTACGAATTAAACAAAAAGAGAGAATCTAAGATATTTAAATAAGATTTAAATATCTTAATCAAATATGTGTCGGAATTGATTGGGATTGACATTTGAATTAATATTAAATATTAATTAAATAGTTTAATTAATCATTTAATATTACTTTAATTTGAAATTAATTATTCAAATTAATTGTTGAATTAAAATGAAGAAAGTCAAAATGTTGACTTTATTTAAGAAAAATCCATGTTAATGGAATTTTGAGGTGTCAAAATTTGGTTTAACCAAACTTGGTGAACTCAAACTTGCATGCTTATCACATAGTCCAAAACATTTAAGTGGAATTTTGAATGTCAAAATTTGGTGATCTCAAATTTGCATGGAAGAGAATAACAAGGTTGGAATTCTTCACTCTCTACGAGTTCATCAGTAGTTCAGGATTGAATGACTTTCCTCTACAGTTTACCAACATGCAAACATAACTCTATAAATAGAGTGATCATGGTACATGGAAGGTCTTCCTTGGTGAAAAAAACCTTGAGAAAAACCTCTCACAAACACTCTCTTCATATATACAAAATCCCTCCCAAGTTTAGTCATTCATTGGATTCCACAATCCCGTTCTAAGGCCGGAGGATAGTGGAGAAGACACTAGTGGTGGTTCGAAACCGGTTCGTGAGGAAAAAGGAATTTGAACTACAAAAGATTAGTATTCAAACTCATTAAGTTTTAATACTTATGAACATGCTAGTTATTTACTATAATTGATGTTCTAAAAGTGCCTAAGATCCAAATTGTTTCCACATGTGTTATATTAACACCATCAGGGGGATAGGTCAAAGGAACTTCTTGATGATGGAGATCTCCTCCACCTTGTCGCCTAATGAACGAATACCACTAACGATCATCGTCAACTTCATGGCAAAGTCTCCTATTGACTCATCATCCCTTATGTGGATAACATCAAACTCACTCTTCAAGGTCTGCACATTTGCTTCCTTGACATGTTCCACTCCCACATGCATTGTTTGTAGCATCTCCTCTTATGTTATCTTTGTCGAGTCCTTCTTTGCCAACATGAGAAGGACATTCTTCGGGATTGCTTGGTAGATAGTGGCAAGAGTCATCTTGTCCTTATGCTCCTCAATGTCACCATTCTTGATGGTGTTCCTCACACCTTATGTTGGTAGTTAACACACATCTTTATCAATTATGTTGTGTAGTGTAACGACCAAGGCCCACATATTGTCCTCTTTGGGCTTTCCCTTTCAGGCTTCCCCTCAAAGCTTTAAAACGATCTACTAGGGGAAGGTTTCCACACCCTTATAAATGGTGGTTTGTTCTCCTCAACCAATATGGGGGACATTATAATTCACCCCCCTTCGAGGCCCAGCATCCTCATTGGCACTCTTTCATTCCTCCAATCGAGGTGGGACCGCCCCCAAATCAAAATTTGTAACAACCCAGATCCACTGCTAGTAGATATTGTGTGAGGGACATTATAATTCACCCCCCTTCGAGGCCCAGCATCCTCATTGGCACTCTTTCATTCCTCCAATCGAGGTGGGACCGCCCCCAAATCAAAATTTGTAACAGCCCAGATCCACTGCTAGTAGATATTGTCCTCTTTGGGCTTTCCCTTTCGGGCTTCCCCACACCCACTCTTTCATTCCTCCAATCGCTGTGGGACCGCCCCCAAATCAAAATTTGTAACAGCCCAGATCCACCGCTAGCAGATATTGTCCTCTTTGGGCTTTCCCTTTCGGGCTTCCCCTTATAAAGGGTGATTTGTTCTTCTCCCCAACCAATGTGGGACATCACAATTCACCCCCCTTCGGGGCCCAACGTCCTCGCTGGCACTCTTTTCTTCCCCCAATCGATGTGGGACATCACAATTCACCCCTTCGGGGCCTAGCGTCCTCGCTGGCACTCTTTTCTTCCTCCAATCGATGTGGGACCGCCCCCAAATCAAAATTTGTAATGGGACATCACAATTCACCCCTTTGGGGCCTAGCGTCCTCGCTGGCACTCTTTTCTTCCTCCAATCGATATGGGACCGCCCCCAAATCAAAATTTGTAATAGCCGAGATCCACTGCTAGTAGATATTGTCATGTTTGGACTTTCCCTTTCGGGCTTCCCCTCAAGGCTTTGAAACACGTCTGCTAGAGGAAGGTTTCCACACCCTTATAAAAGGTGATTTGTTCTCCTCCCCAACTGTAACGACCCGAAATTTTCTACTTAATTTAAGGTCGCTACTGTAT